AAAACAAAACAAAAAAAACAGAATTTTAATTCAATTAAGGTCTGGACTTAACTCAACAATAATAATACACATGTGTCCTAAACTATTTCACTGTAGCCGTATGTCTAGGGTTGCCATCTTGCTCCAAGGTTGGCCTCCACCTGCTTCTCAATTATTTTCTTCCAGGACTTCCTTTATTTACCTCTATGCATATTTCAGTCATCTTTATTCAGTTTTCTTTTCCTTCCTAAAGAAAAGCATTCCCACAGCATGGTACTGCCTTCACCGTGTATCTTTTTGAGCTTTTGGGGTGAAGTGCAGTTTTGCATGTAACATTTATCTGATGTGACCATGGCGTTTCTCCCCTTTTTACCCTATATGGTTGTGAAAATCAGTTTCTCATGGCCTCCGCTTATCAAATAATAATGATAAGTGAACTTTATTGATCTCACACTGGAGAAATTTACCTCTGCATTAAACCATCCCCTCAGGGAGCAGTAGGCTGCCATTGTGCGGTGCCCAGGGAGCAGTGTGGGGTTCAGGGTTTTGTGCAGGAACCCAGAGTGCAGGGTGTGGGGATCTTATCGAATAATTACAACCTTCTCAGAGCAAAAGCACACTGCTCTAACCACTAGACCAACACTTCCCAGCTGATCTCCTCTCTCGACTCTTCCATTGAGGCATTGTATGTGTGAGTGTAAAACTAATAGCGCTGTCAAGAGATTCTCTCACCTAAGGTGTAGGAATTCTCCAACTATGGTCAGCTTTAGTAAGTGGGTGTGCTTTGGTAGAGTTTCTTAGATTACTGAACCTGCCTCATTTTCAGCCACACTTTGTCACATTTATTGACTTTACCTACTTGTTTCAGATGGCCTTATGTAACCTAGATATATTCAAATATTAGCAAAACCTGGGAGTTCAGAATCTCATGTTTCCATTCAACCTAACATTCCAGTATGGTTTTCATTGCAGGATCGTCGCTATGCAGATCTGACAGAGGAGCAGCTGCCATCGTGTGAGAGCCTTAAGGACACCATTGCACGTGCGCTGCCTTTCTGGAATGAGGAGATTGCCCCTCAGATCAAACAGGGGAAAAGGGTGCTCATTGCTGCCCATGGAAACAGTTTGAGGGGCATTGTGAAGCACCTGGAAGGTAGGTGCTGATCTAACTTAGATTTAATTATTTTGAATTAGTTTAATTTTGTTTACCTTAAACACAAAATATCAGCAAGTAGTAATAGCGTGGCAACTGCATGCAATAAAATCTTTATTTCTTAATGAGAAGTTGTTTTCTGTGTGGAACGGTCTGTAGGAATGTCAGATGAAGCCATCATGGAACTGAACCTGCCAACTGGAATCCCCATCCTCTACGAGCTCGACAAGAACCTGAAACCAGTGAAGCCTATGCAGTTCCTGGGAGACGAGGAGACTGTACGCAAAGCCATGGAGGCTGTCGCTGCTCAGGGAAAAGCCAAAAAGTAACAAGAAAGGGGAAAAATTGATCAATTTAAAAATCAGAGTAGCCTATTTAGTATGTGATGGTATAAGTCATTCCTGGAAGCTGACCTCGCATTAGTGTGTTTCTCAAATGCTAATTTATTTTTAAACATGAACTAAAAGCTATAGATTGTTGTCCTTGCTTGGTACAGGCAGAGTCATAGAAACAGATGGATGTTGTTCAGTGAAATAGTAGCCACAGCTCCAATTATTTGGAAAAATTGTCATCAGAGGCAAATATAGATTCAAAATTTGTAGTAGATTTAATTGACTTAAGAAGATGGACATTTATCCTTAAGCTATAAACTAACGTTAACCACGATAAAAAAGGTCAAACTCAACACCCAATATTTGATTCTCCATACATTTTCAATAATGTGGGGATAAAAAAAAAGACAATTCTATTTAAATTAGTAGGCAAATAAATGCAAAATAATAACCCAAATAGGATTAATGCAATTTAACAATAGGTGAAATGCGACAACAGCCCTACAAAATTTGTGTTGTTTTGGTCTGCAATGCAGTTTTCAACAACCAAGATGTTTCCTCCTCATTTTGTGTTCGGTCTCTGCCCATGGTCTATCGTGTCCATTGCCTGTTTGCTACATGGGAAAGAGTGGTGATACATTTCATTATGAAACCTTTAAATTTGTGCATTTCTTTGCTCAGTTTTGAAGTGTTCAATATAGAATAATGGTAATACTTCATTTTGCAATCTCTTGAGAGTTAGGCAGAAAATTTAAAATGTCCGTTTTTTCTTTTTACTGCATGTCTTCAAGCTGTGTGTCGTTTTCAGCTTTGTCGTCCGTGTTTGTGTTTGGATTTTTTTGTCTGATACCTCTTTGCAAGTTTTTGCACTGTCTAGAAAAATAACTTTATTTTGGGAAGTGTCCTCCATGTTACAGTGTTCAAAATGGACAAAGAGTCTCAAATTATATTGTGTTTTTTGCATATATTCATGATATTTAGTCTGTTAATGGTTCTGTGTGCCTTCCACCCTGTCCTTCAAATGCAATTCCTTCTGTGTTCCTGAAATGTAATGAAAGCTCTGAACTAATAAAAAGGAAGTGTGGGAAAATTTTGCCCCATGTTGGCTTACCTTGTCTTGCTGGAAAATGCTTTGTAGAGAAAGTGGCATAAATGTAAATATCACTGTTGGGAAAGTGTTTTATGGCAATGTGCAGTTGTGCAAGCATGCAGGAGTACCATAGAAAAACCTAATTATATTCTTAAGTTAGCTAAACTGTAGGGAGTTGAAGTTATCTCTTTTATTTATTTATTTATTTATTTTTTTTTTCAATTCTCTCCAACATTCTGTATGTGTAAAAACCTCAGCCAGTATGTTCTGCATTGAGTTTCCAAGAATCAGAACAGAATCCATAAAAAGGTTAACACAGAGATCCTGTTTTTTGGTTCAAAGTACAAATGGAGTCTATTTCAAAGGAACAATATTTTTAATATAGTCATATATATATGTGTGTGTGTGTGTATATATATATATATTTAAGTATAGTCTTTCGCAAGAATGTCAATTTAACTAAACATGTTTGAATAAAAATGACTTTTTTAAAATCCTAAATGGAGGTAAAATTCTGAAGTAAATTTCTATATGAGAGTTTCCTCAAAGAATAGGATTTTTTGCACATTAGGAAATTTGAAGTGGTAGTTGTTTGCTACTAAACAAAACCAATACACTCTTGAAAAATAGATTTCAAACTCAAATTGAATGGATACCTGCATAGAAGTTTTATTATCAATACCCACACAAAAAGATGGCTTTTCTCAGTGTTTACATTATTAAACTTGTATATCTGTAACAATTTCTATTTTCATTTCTTGCACAGTAGTTTTGTCTCTACAAAGAATAAGTACTGCATTAGCAAATACAATAAAAAAAAAAAACAGTTTGGGCAACATGGAAAACCCTCTTAAGCAAAACATGCTTGAATTGGACTCATCTTCCACACTTGGTTTGTGTGACAATAATAAGGCAGAATCCAGGACTTCTAAAAGAAAAGACAAACAGCTGAAAGCAGGGGGTTAGAAACTGGACTCCAGGATCAATATAACATTTATAAAGAGTGACAGATACAGAACCTGCAACTAAAACCATTTTTCCTCTCTGAGATCATTAAAAACAAATAATGCATGTGTCTAATTAACTAAAATGTTAAATATATATATATATATATATATATTTTTTTTTTATCCACCAGGCCCTAAGAACAGAAATGATCAAACCGCTGTTAAAAAACAATAACTTGGAAAAGCTGCCAATGCAGAACTCCATGTTTAAATCAAACCTCTCCATCAGTTAGATTATTGAAAAAGCTGTTTCAACAGCTAAACACCTTCCTAAAAAATAACCAGCCGCTTTCTCCCACTTAAGCTTCTGTTCGCACAATCATACAGAGACCGCCCGGATTAAGGTGTTCAATGATACCTGCAATGGTACAGACTGTGGAAGAACCACGGTGCTGGTACTATTGGACCTAAATGCAGCGCCTTGAAAACTGGGTCCATTTTTGTGGTATAGCACTTGACTTGTTTAAGTCCTACTTGAAGAATAGGTACTTTTTCATCAGTAGGTAAATAATTTTACCCATTCAATATCTACATGCCCCCTAACTCAGATTGTAACAAACAACATAAGTTAACATAACTATGCAAGCAACTTACAGCTGTGCATTAAAATATCACCAGGAGACTATGAACCCATTCAAGCACTGGATAAATGCATAGAAGAAATCGATGCATGAATGTGCAAAGTTTTGTATAACTAAATCACACCAAAACTATAGTCATCATTTCTGGGTCAAAGAAAGAGTATCCAGTTAATACAACTAGTACTGCATACTGTGTAACCCCCCCATGTACCTTTTCTTCCTTTGGGTCCTTATTCTTATTTTTGCCTATTTGAGCAGATGTCACAAGTTCAGGTGAATGAATGTAGTGTAAAGCGCTTTGGTCAAGTCTCCTAACTTGAATAAAGGCTCTATATAAGTACATACCATTTACCATTTACCATTTCTCCACTGTGAGATCAATAAAGTTAATCAATCAGTCAATTGGAAATTATCAATCAGGCTTGAAATCTATATCTATCTAATAGTAGTAGTAATGGTAGTATGGTAATAAAGTCAGCCTTTAATAATTCAAAGAACAGATTAAATAGAGAAAATGCTTTAAAATGCCTTGGATTATTCCAGACTTCAATGTAGATTTTACTTTGTTGAAAAGGAGAAAAGATAAAGAATTCCCTCTAAATTCATATATAGTCCAGGATTATATTTATAAATATTATAGTTATGTAAATATTTATACAGATGCTTCTAAAAATATATTAAATCAAACAGGAGTAGCTTTTGTAGTACCATAATTCAATGTTAAAATTAGGAAAAGAATAAGTGATGGACTTTTAATTTACACAGGAGAGGTGATTGCAATATTATTAGCTATTCAATCGGTCGAAGAAGATAAACCAATAAAATCAGTCATATGTTCAATTTCTAGTTGGTCCTTAATTAGTTTACAGTATAATCATTCTGAAAGTAGGCCAGATATTTTAATAGAAATTTAACGGACACCTTATAGAATACATATGCTGGGTTTAATGATTAATGTTGTATGTTAAAGGAAATGAACAGGTAGATAGGGCAGCAAAGGAAACTGTTAAACATTTTTACTGTGGATTTAATTGTAATTTTTAGTAAATCGGATGTTAATAAAAATTAAACAGAAAATAATGAATAAAGGGTAAAACGACTGGGAGAATGAAAAAAGAAGACGTTGGTTTTATAAAATTCAAAAGAAAACTGGAGAAATGAGAAGAACAGGAAGAACAAGAAGAGAAGGAACAAAAATTTCTCGTTTGAGATTTGAGCATACTGGATTAAACAGTACTCTGTTTATTATAGGGAAATGTAAATACTGTGGAGTAGATGAAAGAATTGAACATGTCATGTACTGTAGGAGGAGAGACAGCAGTTGATTATACATTTAAATAAAGTAAAAGTTAGATTTATTTGAATTATTTTAAGTGATTCACAAAGCAACATTTACAGGATAAAATTTCGCTATTTTAAAATTATACAATACAAAAGAATTTATAACAGAACTTAATTCCTGAAAGTCATGCTGGTCCACACTCCATACCAGTAGGTGGCGGAAATGCATCTATTCGTTGTTTGCCGACTGCTAATTTTTTTAAAGGTAAATAATTTTTTTTTTTTATCTAAACAACTTTATTTGGAACAGTAACAATGACAAACTTAATCAAGCATAGTCAATCATACCTCCTAACATTTTTCTTAATATTCTTTTTCTTTTCTTTCAAGTTGCGAGGTAAACAGATGTTAAGTTTATGCAATACACTTTAAAAAGAGAGAAAAAAATCGAAAATCAAGGATATCTATAATTACATACATCGAATATAACTGAATTAATGAAATATAAATGAATAAATAAAAATAATAAAAAGTACAAAACACAAACACAGACAAAGAAAATAAAAAAGAAAAGACAAAAAAAATGTATTTCCTTATATTTTGATAGGAGCTCAAATTTGAGGAACTTTTACATATTTCTTTGGTCTTTCTTTTCATAGTTATCCATACATTTCCTTCTAACAAGTCCAGGGTATGTCTGTTTTGCTAAATGTTGCCTTAAAAACTTATTATTACATTTTTTGTTTAGTAAATCTAAACCATTTATTACAATATTCTGTAATTTAATCACTTGCTTTGTATCATAATTGTTTTTTATGAGCTGAATAAATACATTTGGTATTGTTTTCGTCATTTTTCATAATCATTTTTTGTACAGATTAGATTATACTTATGAATTAAATCTTCAAATGCATATGTATTGCCATTATCAAGCAATAAATGACTAAGAAGAAGAAGAAAAGATGAGGAAATAATGGCGAATGTGATTAAGTATTTATTATGTTGGGTTACATTAAACAATTTGGAAAATATTATTGTTTTTATTTTATTTTATTTTTTTCTGGGGGTGTCTTGTTTCCTGTTTCCTTGTTTAACTCCTTATCAGTTGGTGGCGGTAATGCACTTCTAACTAGTATGCGAACCGCAAACCTCACAAAACCTCACAAGAAGAAGAAGAAAAGAGGAGGAAGAAGAAGAAAAAAATAACTTGACAGCAGGCGGGAGGGAAACTTATGATGGAACGACTCTTGTAATGGTGGTCCACTGTCTTGTGCAGCTGTGTGTTATTGACAAATTTTTAAACTCTTGCAACACAAAATACTGCTGAAAATCAAGGAATTATGCGGTAAAAAATACTCCTGTAGACATTTTTAGTGCAATATATTCTTAGTAACATGGCTAAGGTTTTGTGCGCGTCAACCACTGATTAGCTTAAAATCACTTCCTGAAACGGCGGCTTGTTGTGTTTACGTTTATTAAGCTACTATTTACATGTTTTAAATTTTAAAAGATAATAAAGGTTTAAATAGCATCCGCGGTTCAGTGTAATGGTAACTGTCGCGTTTCTAAACAGATCTGTTAACGTTCAACAGTGCTGCTAGGTGAGCTTTGTGTTCGTTTGTGATTACAAAGTGACCACACTGCGATACAGTTGTTCAGCTCCACTTGACGCTGTTATTGTCCTCTTGTTAAAACACTTTTCAACGTCTTAATCCGCTTAATTTACTCAGATTGTCGTTTAATGCATCAAACTGGCGTGCTTTGTGTTAAAACTCGGTTTATGTTGCATTGTAGTCTTCCTAATGATCAAACAACAGTTTTTGGACGGATCCAAGAAGAGTTCTTGCTATGTGACTTTCTGTTGGAATATTTGAAGACTGCTAATTGAAGCAAGGTGAGTCATTGGGAACCTCTGACATTGTTAATCTTTTTTAGCAAAATAATGTATGTAGTAAATTACACGGACTGGTCACTCGAAGCTAAAAGTTAAAATTTAACCTTTATTTTCTTCTTTGAATTTTATTTAATTTTTTCATGTTAGACGTTAAAAACTGTTTTTATATAGTCTAATCTGAGGTACCTGACTAATAAAACATGTTAGATGGGGGGGTGATTCTCCTTGCTGAATCTATTATCAACTCTTATTGGTCCTCTTCGAGTCCCTGAAACAGGAACCTTTATTTTGGCCTAGACATGATCATAGGCTAAGCTGAATAGAAAACCCATATATAAGCATATTTATGCTAAATTTCTCTGAGAATAAATAGACTGAAAACTGAACCAAACAAGGAAAACATAAATCTATTCACTCAGGCTGCTTTATTCACTGATTGCTTTGAATCACCTCCGCAGCTTCTCTGAGGAGGAAACGTCTATGCAGAGTCCTGCATGATTTTATAAGCAAACAAAGATATTCTTTTTCTACTTTCTCATCATATTTCATGTTGTTGGAAAAATCCAAATGGGTATTCACTCAGTCAGATTTACACCTGCACTCTCCAGCACTGTCAATGGGGCCATTGTTTCCCTGGAAGTGTTCACATGGACAAAAACATGTTAGATATTGAAAAGGGATGACACCCAGCCCGCTTGTATGTGCCGAGAACTGTCTATCTGATAGGATAGTTATAATGCTTTGACAAGAATTAATATCATGTTAAATGAGCAACAATCCCAGATTTTCTATTTCATCCTAAGCTTTTTTTTTTTTTTTACTTTCTATCTAATAAAGGTAAATTCCTCGAAATTACCAAGATTATTTGAGTTCATTGACATGGTTAGAACATAAATTGGGGAAGAAAAAAAATGGAACAAGAACATTACCGTGGTAAAATAAAGGCGCAAAGGAAAAGCTGAGACACAAACTTTAATGACGTTTCAGATCAGTTTAAAACACATGGTCAAAGGCAAATCTAAACAAATAGTTGTTTTTGTTTTGTTTTTTTGTTTTTTTTCCCCCAGATTAGTGGCGCATAAGAACTAAATGTGGCTTCTCCATGTCTGGTTGTGGTTCTTGGTGTGTAGACTTGAACCAGTGGAGCTGAGAGATCCGGATAGTTGATACACTGACAACTTTTTGAAGTTCTTTCTCTGATATGGGGAGCCAGTGTAATGGCTCAAGAACCAGGGTTATTGGCTCTGCTTTCTTAGTTTTACTGAAAAATATATCTTTTTAGTATAGCTTTTCAACATTTTATTGAAAGTACTTTAAAATATCATGTCTGTTAATCAGAGTTTTTAAATGTCTGTCAGCAGTTAGAGATTTTCTCAACATACGGTGCAGTAAAAGTGATTATTGAAGTAGCCCTCTGACCCTGTAGCCTTGTTGTCTCTGCTGTATGAACTCTGGTCTCCATCATTGAGGTTCCCTGCTGAAAAGGTGGATGGGATTGTTCCAATAAAAATTCTAATTTTAGGAGATGCTATTTGCGTTTTGTAGAGTAAAATATCTAATCATACCTTTTTCTTTTAAGATGCATTAGGTGAAGTAAGCATTAAAAAAATATAAAAGTAGAAGAGTGATGTCAGATCTTTTCCTATTGATTTATCTTTAGTTCTTTTTGCAGTGATGGATCCTACACTCCAGCAGCACTCCCTCCCACAATTCAAATCTTTTCCCCAAGAGACTCCAATCAAGCCTTCTCATGTCTCTAACCTGCTTCCTCATCCCCAACCGAGGAGAATATTGCCTCTCCAAACACCTGAGGAGAGCTGCATTACCAAGTTAGGCCCAAACTGGAGTCCACCAGGAATAGCATATCCATCAGCGCTTGTTCCAAATAGCTCCACAAACACTGTTTCCCCTGTGAATTCTTGGAGAAAAGACAGACTTGGACCTGTAAGTCACATCGATCCATCTTATGGCAATGTTCTGGGAAGCCCGGTTAGCAGTGTCACTGCAGTGAGGGAAAATCTAAGTCCTCTGCAAAACACAATCCCATCAAGGCCCGGATGCTTCAGCTCATCTGAGGTTGTTCCGTCCAGCCTAACAAAGACTCACACCTCAGCTGAAGAGTCTCAGTCTGGGAGGACTTTAAGTAACCCATTCCCAGCACTGCACTCCAGGAATGACCAGAATTCTGAATCTAAGATCCTGTCTTCTAACCCAGAAAGCAACAGCCATGTGTCGCCAAGACAAGAACCAAATACGGTAATTTCCCCTCTCTTCTTTTGATGGTGAAAAATATATCCCTGAGGTGTTTTTTTTATATTATAAAGCAGCAATATAATGCTGAGAGTGTAAGGCTTAGCAATAAAACTTAGGCTGTGTCCGAATGTCCCCCCTAATTCCTATATAGAGCACTATATGGTGATTACACCATTTTAAATGCGTGTCTGAACGTAGAAAGTAGTGGACATGAAATTTCCTGCAATGCACCTTGAAAAGTAGTGAACATCCATGGTCACTAGATGAGCCGATATATCCCAGAATGGTTTGCTAGAGCTCTCCTCGCAAAGCATCATGGGTTTTGTTGTGGTGGCATGAAAGAACAAAGATAGTGCCGGCGGGGAGGTGGAGTCACGTGACCAACGGGGAGCGGAAAGTAGTGATCATCTAGTGATCATCTTTCTGAACAGTAAGTTATCCGAGTTCACTATAAAGTCCGCTATATAGTCCCCGCCCTATATAGTGATTTAGGGATTAGGGTGGATGTTCAGACACAGCCTTAAAAATTCTTTGTTGTGACTTTGAATTTAATGTGCACATTGTGTGATTACTGTTTACTAAATCACTTATAAAGTAGAACAATACCGGTAATCAACTTTTTTAGCATCCACATATCTTTGTATACTTGCATAGTGTGTTGTAACATCTGTTCTTTTTGCTTGATATCACATAGCAGCGTTCTGGATTACTCTATATTTAAAATAAACAAACTCTGTTGTTCAGCTGCATGATCTGCTCTAAATCCCAACCCCCCAAAACAAAACCACAGTCACATGCTCACATCTGAAAAAGATGCACCTGTTTGCAGCTCAGATTAGTGCTCTTTGTTAGTTTGTTCACCTGATCAGACAGGAAAAGTTAATCCTGACAATAAAATTACAAAAATAAATCTTTTTTTTGAGGGGGGCAATTTTGATGCTCTCCAGGGATCAGTTAAAAGAAGAAGTACAAACTAAAATTAAAATCCTCCTCTCAAAATTGATCTTGCCAAATGTTGGGAACTCTTGAGTTTTCGGTTTCAGAACAGCTGCTATGAATTAGTTCACTTAACTCTAAGTAGATTGACTCAGAGTTGAGCACGTATGTAACAAGCATAAAAAGCCATTATCAGTGGAGCCCCGATGAGTGTCCATGGCAAAAGGAAGTTCCTGTTTCACCCCCCTGGATCTAGAGATTTTGATGAAGAAAAAAATGGAGAATGTGTTAAAAAGGCAGAGAATCAGCACTACAGCTGCAAAGGAGCAGGAGATGGCGAAGCAGAAGATTGTTGCTCAAGTTAATGCATAAGTTCATATGAAGTGGCAGGCAGTTTTTACATTTATTAAAAGCACTTTCCTCTCTGTTGCTCCATTTTTAGATCACTAAAATAAGATTCTTCCTGATTGCTAGGTTTATTCGCAAGAAAGAAGAAAAAAAAAACCCACAAAAAACAAAATCACTCTGAGCAATTTCTCTGTCCACAGATGTATAAAAAACTTCAGCTCACTTCAGAAAATCACAACACAGCCAAAGTGTTTTAACAGTAAAAACACTGGAGATATTTTGTAATAAGGAATCTCCTCACCTTTTAGTTATGTGGATGGTAAATTTCCTAGTGTTACAAAGGTACTAATGTCAGCTAATATATTCATTACCCAAGCTTGTAAATTTTCCTAATGTCTGAGTTGTATAAAATGTTCATTCTTTTTTCTCTTTCAGTGCCAAAAACTTGAACAGACACATTCGAGCGAAAGCATACCTCCAGGTAAAATGTTCAATTTAAATGTGTTAATGTTTTTGTTGTTATTCAGCACTTGTCCACATTGCAACGCATTGTTATCTCTCCAGTACTTGAGTTTGATCAGGGCTGGTTGGGGGAAAAATAAAAAAAAAGCATGTTTTAGAAATCTTATGGTATTGCCTAATAACAGGTCATTCAGTAGATTGGAGATTCCAGACTTACGGCTACAAGATCCGCCACATGCATGCATCAATAAAGTTGGATGCATGTAACCAGGGGATTCCTTGTTTAGCAGATGACGCTAGCGCAGTGTTACATTGCTCATTGTCTAAAGCCCTATTTAAATGAGTTAAAGATTTCAAATCATATCATTATGCTTCTAAAGCAGCATTCTTAATGAGCCTATATAATGTTCCAGTAGCTTGAGATCCTACATTTTGGTTTCCGTTAGGATTCTTAACACAGATCACTCTGTGGAACAGTTATTGAGAAATTTTTCATTTTGACTAAACTACGGTATTGTGAAACTATATTCAAATATATTGTTGGAGTATTGCTATGTCACTGACAAGATTATGTCTCTGGCTTTAGGTTTGGATTTAAACAGCACATCTCATAAGAGGTGCAGAGAAGAGGAGTATTGCTCTGAGAGCACAAAGAAACCGTGTCTTCTGGGTACCAAACTTGTGAGAACAGAGACTAATAAACTCACTCCTGGCACCTTGCAAAGATCCTCACTGGATCCTCAGACGTCACAGACGAGCTCTTCAGTCTTTGAGTTATCCCTCAAAACAACAGACACTTTCTTGAGGGCTGATACAGCATGCTCAACCTTACCAACCACACTCAACCCCTCTCGGTTAAACTCCCCAGGTTCAAAGAAACCCCCAGCAGGAGCAAAGCAGGGGTTTATAACCACGGAGAATGATGTAGTGATGTTAAGATTGACTTCGACTCCCTGTGAGGAGACTCCAAAAAAGCAAAATGAGGGAAACCCAAAAAAGGATAAATCCCATTCTGCTGGAGGTTCTCGGGAGTCCAGTAAACCTCAGCACGTTGCTCCAGTAAGCACAAAATCTGACTTTGGTATCCCAGTTAAGACGGAGAGCAAAAAAATAAATGGCAGCAGAACAGCAGAGCACAGTAAGGCAAGTCGAGTACGAAGACCATCAGCGGTCCTTGACGATGTGGATCAGCTCTTCACCCCTGATTCCAATGTTTATGTAGTCAGGCCTCCATGTAAGACCCCCAAATCCAAGATGGAGGAGCCGACGATAAAATCTCCTACCTCAAAGTCAGGTTTCAGCCCTACGTCCAACTGCATTCCAACCGTTACACCCGCATCTTGTCCTGTCACACAACCTGCACATGGAGTGTCTAAATTGGCCCTCTGTTTGCCAACTGTGGCTCTAGAACGTTTAAAACTGGAAAAAATAAGCATTTGTTCTAAAGATAGTATCAAAACTAGTCCTCCTGCGAGTACTCCAGGAAAACAACCCAAGAATGAGAACGTAAAACCTCAGCACAATAACTCCTCGAAAGCTAAAACCAGTGAGGGTTTTTGTTGCCCAAAGACGGACACAGCAGCCTCTGCACAAAAACCTTCACCCCCACGCTCAAAGTCTCCGTCGCTACAGGACGAGGAATGCGTTGGGAGTAAGGAGCAAGAAGAAGAGGACGGATTTAACGATTTTGATCTGGACCATAGCCTCAGCATTTCATACCACCTAGATCTAACCCAGAGCTCCGACAGCAGTGAGGAGGAGCCAATGATCTCCCTCCAAGAGATGATAGAGAACACAAAGCCTCCAGACACGCCACAGAAAGAGGCCTTCTCAGAGCCCAGCACCCCAGGATGCCAAAGCTCTCAGTCAAAAACCGTAAGCTCTGTCCCATTTAGCTTTTTAAATCTTAAACAGAAGGTTATAAATGCATAATAATTTGAGTTTTCAGAAAATTGGATATTAGTTTGTGCCTTGGCTTGGGGGTTTGAAATAATCTTTTTTTTTTTGTTTTTTTCCCCTTAGTGCCTGCTGCCATCAACCTCAAAGTCAGGAGTGTACAAGAATAACCTGGACCAGATGTTGAAGGAGATTAACATCAGCAAGAAGTATACATTCCAGAAGAAGAACTTTTATTGCCTTTTTATTTCCACCTCATTTCTGTGCACAACAGATAATCACCCCTCTGTTTTTTCTGTTAAAATTGATCAGAGCAAAGGAGAATGAGGCACAGCTTCTAACCGCTTGCCAGGAGAACCTTTTGAGGTTAGCAGAGTATGAGGAGGAAGAGGACAGCCAAGCGGAGGATACAACTGAACACAAGTGAGAGAAACAGAAGCTGGGGGAAACATTTCACATGATTTTACTGTAAATTAAAACTAATCCATGATTTGTTCTTCAGAGAGTCTCTGTACCACTTCTCCTTGATGTACACTGTAATCAGAGATGTCCCACCAGGGGAGGTAGTTTTCAACTTGGAAAAGTTTGGCCAGATCTTTAATCAGGAAACGCTGCAGCTAAGGCAGTGCCACGTCACTCCACAAGGGACCTCACAGAAAACTCTTCTTTGGTAAGATATACTTATAGTTTTATAGCACTTAGCAACGCTAAGTACCTTGGCTGTATTTTAACAGAGAAGCATAGGAGATGAGTCTAAAGCCCCTTTCCAAGTCGAACAAGAATAGGGGCTATTCATACATGCAGCTTAGTCCCAGTAAATTAGCTGGTCAGCTCTTTCCATGCCTAACCCAGCAACAGTGGAATGGATCTACCTAATGCCCCCTGCAGGTGGCAGTAATGCAGAATATATAGGTTTAGCTGACCAAGCTAACCTCTAAAGAAGAGTTTCAGCTGGACATTGCTTCAGTCAAACAGCTGATTAGCAATAACAGGCAAAGGCTTTTGGACCAGTAGTTCTTATGCTTGTTGCTAATGTCTGACAGAATTTCCTCAGCAGACTTTTAAGTTTATTAAAATTTAGTATTTCTGCCCCTTTAATATAAATTTTCCTGATTAAAATGTAGTGGGAGGGAAAGGAAACAGGTTTTTTCCAAGTTTCTCACTGATACAACTCTGAAAAGATGGTCAGTATTTCTTTTCAGCTCAGTATACCCTGCTATTTTATTGCAACATATCAATGGACAACGGATGCTCTCAATCTAATCTGAATGTCAGCTATTTTCCAAATAATAGGTAAAGGCTAATATTAGTCCCCTGGAGTTGGAAAGCTAATAAATAAAACAAAAGACTTGGTGGTATAACAAATGGAACTATCTTCACATACTCTGTGTTTCACTCTTGTTTAAGTGAGTATTTTATTATTTCTAGTTGTCGCATCATTTTTCTCTACTGCACAGCTTTAAACTTTTTGTTGATTCATGTAGTAACTTATGGTAGCTTATGTTGGTCATCATCCCCGCCTGAGTATCTTGGCATTATCGCAGTAGGTTTAGCTTGACAACCAGGATACAGAATCAGGTCCTCGTCAAAAAGAAAATTTGGTGGCATCAGAGAAATTTCAGACACATTGATGGAGTCATTTATAACCCCAGTCCAAACACCAGTGGAGGAAAATTTTGCTTTAATTTCTTGTATAACTGCTGAGCTAGCTGTTCTTATATTGCATAAGAAAACTGAGAACATGTGATGCCAGGACAGGTTAAGACTTCTACACTGGGAACCAGCAAACGGTACCGGAAAAGATCCAAGGGAAGCATGTGGTTTTGGATTTGACCGGCGGGTCTCAGGGGACACAGTGTAGCATGATAATAATTTTTTTTCTATGAAAAATGTTTGCACCAATTATTCCAGCCTTTGTGTAATAAAAACAAGAGGCATACCTTAGCTTCTTAAAGGAGCTTTATATACAGCTTTATATACAGATGTTGAAAGTTTACATATCCCTGCCATTAAAGAAAATTATAAATTTACACCAGTAATTCAGGCAAAACAAAACTGAAAAAGTAATAATAAATATTTAGATGATAATTTAGTCAAATAAAATATTGATTTAGATTTTTTTTTCTTTAGAAAAAAAAAATATATATATATATATATTTATATATATATATTTATATATATATATATATATATTTATATATTGTTCCAGACAAATGAAAGTGTCTTACTCTAAACAGCGAACCATCATACCTGCAGAAGTCTGACTGAACATTTTGCTGAACATTACAGAAAACACCTGATTTTAGTGATTATTGCCTTAAAAGTTTTGCTCAACAAAACCTTAGTTCAGTCGCTCCATCAGGCGTGTTTACTTGTTTTATTTATGAATATTTAAATAAAACAATTATTCAAATTCAATGTCATGATTTCAATTTTTTACATCTTGTATTTATAATTACCCTTCTAAATTACCATTTATTTTACTGGTAGCTTTTTTTTATATTTTCTCGTAACTTTCAAGCACAACTGTATATATCTTAAGAATGCTTATGTGAAAGATAGATTAAAATAATTAGCATAACAAAAGAAATGTTAGATCAGGTTATTAAAAGGCCTTAAATTGGAACTCATTTAAAGGATCTTTAACAATTTTCTACATTTCGCATTTGTACAAAACCAATACAGGGAGTTAGGTCAAGCTGATTTAATTTTTTTTTTTTATGGCACTAGTGGCATAAAACAGTAGGCTGACAGGAAAGGGTGTATGAGTGAGAGGCAGAGACATGCGGGAAAGGACCACGGGTCAAATTCAAACCAGGGTTGCGGCGACGAGGATTAAGGCCTCTGTACAGGGGTCGTCCGTGCTAACCACTGCGCCACCTGCATGCCCAAGCTGCTGTAAAATTTGAAAGATAATATTTTAGTTCATTATCTCAAATTTTTATGTATTTTAACTGTTTAACATTTAAATTAATATTCAGCCAGTTGTTTCTGGGTTTCTGTTAGCAAGTAACTACATAACAATGTTTAGGTTTTGGACCTTTCTGTGCTAAAACTTCTTTTACAATTAAGCTCAGTTGCTCCTCAGCAAATATTTGAAACCTTGTTTTTTAAATCCCTGTTTTGTTTCTTCATTTCTCCTCTTTTTTTCCTCCTGCTTCATTGTAGGTCCAGTCCTGCTCAGCTGCGACTGCACTTAAATATTGGCCTGTTTGAGAAAGCTTATCGTAGCTCACCCTGTCCACCTAAAGTCACCCGCTTCCTTTTCAAGGTACCATGCTTTACTGTTATAGAAATTCAAAAATAAAATTGTATTATATTATAATTTGGAGACTCTTGTTGGTGTTAAACTCTACTGCTGGAATCGACTGTTTGTTGTTAACAGATGATGTCGGTCCATAATGAAAGGATTGTGTCGGATAGGATCCTTCAAGTCCTTTGTGACATTGCCTGTTCTGCAGCTTATCAAATAGGTCAGCATCTCCTTTTCTTCCCCTTCAGTTCCACTGGATGTGGAAGCTTCTTCCAGACACCATTTTTCCAGTACGATTGTGTATCGCGTGCCTGGTCTTTATCTAATAACCTTAATTTTTTTTTCTTTTCTTTTTGCATTTATGATGGGTAAGTGATTCTGGGACACTTTGCACTTGGTGGAACCACTCTAATTGAAAACAATTCCTGTAATGGCCCAGCAGAGCTGCACATCCAGTGGAACTGATGGTTTAGCTTATTATTTTTCTTTACTGTAGGAAAAATACTGATGTTTCTTTTGTCATCTGCAAACTCCCCCAGTGAACAACGATAATCAGCAATTTGAGGTGTGGGTCCCCAGTTTGGCCGACGTGACGCTGGTCCTCATCAACATGGGTGCTGCATTTGTAACACTTTTCCCCTTTGAGAGTCTACAGCCATCGTTCACGGAGGGAGATCTGCTGTGCGTAACTCTGCCTTATAGATCAGCTATTGCTGCTTCATATTAAGAAATATGTTAAACAATTACTTTTTTTTTTTTTTTATTACAATGTTTAATTTTTTGTTTTGTGTAGAGAGGATGTCTATGTTAAAAGTGAGAGTCATTCCAAAAACAAGGAAGAGATCATTTTCCCTGAACACAACTGTACAAACATCTTAAAGGTGAGATATTTAGAAGTTTAATGTCTTACAGTTTAGATTAATAACGTTAATACTGCCTAATTTGATGTTAACACTTAAAAGAAGTGCTAAGTTTATGAGCAAGCTTATTTAATGCAGCTGATTTCATAGTAAGAAGATTTTATATTGGAGAAAAAATACTTGTCGAACCAGTTTCATCGTTCCCTCTTGCTTGTTTTCCCTCACAGTACCTGTCCTACTGCATGGGCCTGTGCCCTCTTGCCTACAGTGACGATGAACTGCTGTTGCTGTTAACTGTGGTGGGAAGGATCAGCCTGGAAACGCAGCGACTCCTCCAGTCAAATGTAGAAGTGAGCTGTCTACTGTATGAACTGATCAACAACATCAGGGACTGGTCTTCTATGGTCAGTCAAAAGCTTTGAAAGTGTTTTCAATTTGTGTTTCATTAAATTTCAAGCAATTATTAGACTAATTATTTTAATGTTTTTTTTTTCCTCTGCTGTAGCTTCCTAGAATCTGTAAGGCTCTGACCGATTTGACAGATGATCACCACAACATGTGCCTGCTAGTCCAACTCCTGCCTGACAGTACACGAGGACAGTATGTATGCATTCATTTTTTAAATCGGTTAGGGTTAGAGATTTAAATAACCAAAGGAAGCAAACATGATGGGTTTCTTATAGGCCTTCGTACTTTATTAAATTTATAATATAATCGCAGTTTTGCAAAAAAAAAAAAAAAGCCATTTTCAAATTGCAGATGCACTCAATTTTTGGATCACATTACATTCATTAAGACACTGACTTTATTACTCCAGCCCTTAAGGGGGTGGTAATGTGTTTAAAGTGGGTTTGCTGCATTGCAAAAGAAATGAGTGTTACAGACATGCTAGTAGAAGTAAGAACATCCCACATTACAGTAAGAGTAAAGTGATTCCCAATGGACTCTAGAGTAGGAAGCTTTCAAGGTCATGAAACATCTAGAGGATTATCATTGGTTCATTTGCATTTAGTTTCCTCATCTTTTTCTTGCTTTATTTATTAGTCACATTGTTAAAGTATAAAGTATCATTGTTCCAAAACAGCAATATATATATATATATATATTTTCCCCCTTTTTGTAGATATCTCCGCCGCCATCTAAGCCTCTGCTTTATCTCCAAGTTGCTGGATGGAAATTGCACCTATTGCCCTATGGAGGAAGAGCTTCCGGTAAACTCTCTTAAGACATTGTAAGCATTCGTTTTAAGGCAACATGAATTGGTTCCTCTTAAATAAAACACTTTGTATTGTGGGCAGCTTGCTGAGTTAAGGCAATATCTTCCCAAAATCCAACCATCCGCACTTCTCCGAAGTATACAGCTTAAAGACAAAGAAGAGGACCTGGCCACTCAAGATCAACAGGTGAGGACTGGATAAAGGAGAACTTAATCACCAAAAGTGTTTGTTGTTTAATTTTTATTCTTTACAAGCTTCCTTTTTTAAAATATTTTCCAGGCTTACTACCTTTGCTACAGCCTTCTGACTCTCACAAATGAGGCGTCAAATTTACAGGTTTTCCGACCTGATCAGAAGGTAAATTCTCTTTCCTTTCTCTTTGTGGCTTGTTGTTGTTAGGATTGAGTTTCAGATGACTGAGGAAGCTTCAGATATTAGAATTCACACTAAAGCATTTTTCTTTATTTATTTAGGCACAGCTGCTTGTTTTGTCATCCATCCTGGAAACGCACATTAAATGTCACATCAGGGAAAACGAGAAATGTCTTTATCGGAGCAAGGTTGGTGCAGCTTTAAACAAACACAATCAGTGGATGGTTCTACTGTTTTAACCTATGTAACCCTCTAGATCTTTTATGCATATAAACAGTTTATACTGTAATTTTAGAGGGAAAGAATCTGTGATGATTAATCTCTCGGCAAGCTGGTACCTCTAGTAAGAGTGCAGGACAGTTTGCTATTTGTCAGTTTTATAGATAAATGGTTGTGATAGTTTTCAGATCTGATTGACCATTTAATTATAAACAGTATTTCCTCCAGATTTTGGATTGCACCCCTTTTCTATTGACTTTTTCACAGACGCCTGATTAAGCCAAAATAACAATGCTTGACCTCCTGATTGTGGATACTCAGAATTCCTTAAACACATTTTCTAACTTAAAATTGTCAAAGTGGAAACAAAAATTTCCTTGGCAGTTACAAATTTGCACCTATTCAACATGAAATATCCAGCATTAGCATTTGTCTTTTTAAACCAAAAATGGTCTATTTGATATAAAAAAAACTGCTGCTGTTCAAATGGAACAGAACCTCTAGACATAGATCTGTAATATTACAGATATACTATTTAATATATTCACTTACGCTGGTGAATATTCTCAGTCATCCAGCTCATAGTCATTCCAAAAATAGTTAAAAACAAACCACTGGACCTTGTTTTCCAAAGAAGCGAAACGTTTTCAAACTTGGAAAGTAAAGTCCAGTGAGTTGTTTTCAACTTTTTGTGGAAGAAATATATTCAGTTACCAACCTAAAACTTGATGTTGTGTCATCTGTGGCAACAAATGGGAGCTTTTAGATGGACAGGAAAAAAAGAAATCTGTTTCATAACATTTATTCTTTCGCTAGGTAAAGGACTTGGTAGCCAGGATCTACACCAAGTGGCAGATGCTTCTCCAGAAATCAAGACCTCTGAATGTACAGTAAACAATTCCTCACAGTAGTTTCATCAAATATATAAACTAATGGCGGCGTCTTAACCATCTCTGCTGTCTCATAATGTGTTTTTGTAGGGTAAGCTGTATGATTATTGGCAGCCTGTGGAAAACTTTAGACACAGTGAAGAGGATGAAGATTCGTCGTCTGCAGTTGAAGATGAAGAAACAATGATAAGCGAGGAGAATGACACTACAATTTCTGAAAATGAAGAGGAAGAGAAAGAGGAGGAACAAATGAGGGTTAAAGAGGACATGGAAGTAGATGAAATTCCAGGTGACAAGGAAGACGATACAAAGACAAGTGAAGCAGCAGAAGATGAAGTAACTGGGGACTTAAACCAAACAGCGCCAGTGATGCAGCCTTCAACAATGGATGAGCATATTGATCCTAAAGAATGCACAGAAAATGAGAATCAGACTGCTGGAATGGAAGAGAAATCACCCCCGATGCCCTCATGTGAACCTCTGTCACATGATGACATTCTACAATTTTTCTCTGGATGTTAAACCCTGTTGCCTTAAAGTTATTTACGATTTCACTAATTGACATTTTCCACAAACCCTCAGGTTAACTCTATGCAAAAATCGATTGTTAAATGTTTATGAAGGGATTCAAAACTCTTTAATAAAGCGTTTAAGTCTCTTCAGAGGTCGAAAACCTTGCATTGTTTTGATGTGTGTATTTAATTTTTTATGTATTTCAAACATTAGCATTCACATTCATACACTGAGACATTCACATTATTTTTTTAAAAGAAGCTATGCAGAAGTAAAACCTTAATTGAACCTACCCCTGTCCGTTTATATTTATCTTACACTTATTTTTTATTTAAGTAAAAACATGACACTTTTCCCAAATTGTATATAATCGTTGCCCGGTTTATTTTAACTCAAAACAGCAAAACAAAATAACAATTTTTTTTGTACTTTTTCTCTTGCTCTGGATCTTTTTTTTACTTTAATTCTGCTGTTGGACTTTTCCATAAATCTGAAATGGCTGTGCTGTTTTCCTCCCACTGCAGTGGTTTAAATGTTACATTTTGGACTTTTGTGTTGTTTTTTACAATAAGACTTTTATTAAATTACATTATCTGGACGTCTTGTCTCACTAAGTCTGCTTAGAAGAAGCTTTGGAGTGAGTGTAAAGTTTCTGCTGTCAGTGTACCCATCCATGGCTGGGCCTAACAAAATGCCAGCCATGTCAGAAATGTAAATTTATATATTATGTAGAATTAATATATACTGAAAAAAAGAAATTCAAGCCTTTGCCATTTTTAATTTTTATGGTTAACAGATAACGAAAGCAAAATAAAACTCTTAAAATCAAATTACATTAGAAATAAGCTTATATTGAATGGGTAGGTTTCTAAAAAGCGCCACTGGCCCCCGCTTGCTTGAAAAGAGTTCATTACATCCCTGGCTCTAAAGTCTCTTTGCAATACTCCATTGATCTGTTCATTGGGTTCCGAAAAAGGTACGATTTGGGCCAGTCAAGCACAAATATCACCATAGTCATTAAATCTATTTTGGGAAGCCTTGGCAGTATGCCAAGTCCTGCTACTGTCAGCAGAAGGGACGAGGTGCTCTAAAAATGTCCTGGTAGATGGCTGTGTTAACTGTGGACTTCAGAAAAAACTCAGTGAAAACCATTATGGAAGTCAAACTTTGGAAAACAAGAATTAATTTTTTTTCGAAGTTGTTACTACACCTGGTGGTGACAGTATAGTTTACAATCTCCACATACTACAGACTTAAAGGTATAGTGGAGAATTTTCACTAATTTTGGAAAAGACCCACCCTCTCCACTTAAAAAAAAAAAAAAAAGTGCACATGCACAACCCTATTGAACGTGTGCAAGAGCATGCACGAGCCCATTTCTCCACGTGCACACTCTGTTTAAAAGGTCCTGTTTGCAAGCTTACTTTCCAAAAGAAGATTTGCAATTTTTTCACTATGTCAGACTTGCCACCTACAAGTCATAGGACGGCCTTAGGTAAACATATCACCAGACTGATTGACAATTAGGAGGACCACTTATTTTGCTGATCCACCCGGAAAAAGAACATCCTGCACTATACCTTTAAGGTATGTAGCATCTTGCTGAAAACAGAGAAGGATCTTAGCTTCCTTCAAAAGCATACCTACAGTCTGTTCTGTCCATTCTTTACAGTTTTCACAATGTAAGTTAGTTTCTAACCAATGTTGCCTGAAGATATGTGGGAAAGAATCTCTATTGGTTATTTTGAAATGTCATTGACCACTTCCCTGAGTTTTTCCATTCTCTAAAAAGATGTTTGTTTCTCCACATAAAGTTAAATAAATTTTTACTATCTCTTCATAATTACAGGAGGAGCATTAAGAAAAAAAAAAAAGTATTTGAAAGGGAAGCTTTTAGATCTCGTTAGACAGATGCTTCTCAGTTATGTTGAATTCCCCCCCACATTGTTGGTTTGTTCCGCCCCGCCCCTCTTTACTGGGTTGCTATGCAACAGCAGTCAGGTGACTGTCTGCAGACAGAACATGGCTGACCTGTCAGAAGACCAATGAGGGAAAGGCCAAATTTTGCATAATCGATCTTATTTTTTTCCCTCGTTTCTGACCGCAGTTGTCCGTCTTGGGCAGCGTTTGACCCGAGATACTCAAGGTAAGCGTGGGAGTGCTTAAGTGCTGGGCAATTTATCCCCCTGTGTTACACGGAACTGGCTGAAGTCAGTGTTGATGTTGCTAAGTGCTAGCTGTTAGCCAAACAGCCCCCCTCTCAGCTCCCGCTTTTCACCTAAAACAACCAAATTATGGAGAGATTCTGGAAACTTCATGGAGGTGTTATGAATTATCTTTTGTAAATTTAGCAAGGTAACAGTATAGTGAGCGCCGTCTTTATTGTTTCACAAGTTTGCAATTAAACGTTGCTAAAAGGGGAATTTTTTGTCAGCATTTTATGTGGAATCTGCACATCAGAACAACTCTGTTGCTTTTTGGGGTAAGGACACTATCATCATTTTGACTAATACATACTGTAAAGCTATTATATTATAACTTCTTATTGTAGAAGAACTAATAGGACACAGTTAAATAGGCGCCTGTTTTAGATGCTAATAAGCTTTTACAGAATAATCTCTAATTTTTGATTTAATCTATTTTGAAAAAGATGAAACCTTTGACCCCATCACTGGGTGTAAAGCTGAGGGAGTTATCAGGCAATGATGAACTTCCTGGTTTTGATATCACTGCAACAACCTTTAGCGTTACACATTTTTTTTTTTTTTTTTTTTTTTTTTTTTTTTTTATTATTATTATTATTATTGTTATTATTATGTGTAATTTCTGGATCTCATACATTGCCTTCCAAAAATAACTTTTGAGCTTGGTCACATTTTGTGACTGTTGTTGGAATTGTATGAAAACATTTAAAAATATATATTTTTTGATAAATTAGAGTTTATTTCAGTTTAATTTTATTAGGATAATATGAAATAAAGTAAGACAAAGTACTGGATAATTGTGAAGTATAATGAGAATTGTTCAGCTTAGTCTTTCATTGCCTCTAAAATGTTTTCTTAGCTGATTTCTGTGCATTTAATTTTCCCATTAACCGTGTCCAGCTTCCCTTGATCTGTTGAAGAAAAGCATCACCACACCATGATGCTGCCACCACCATGTATATTGATGGGGAAAAGTCAATTCTTGGTGTTAGTTTGCCACAACATATATTGTAAAATTTAACATGGGTCTCATCTGACCAAACTTCCTCTCCCGCCTTAGCTACTGTAGCTTTAGCTAAATCTGATGGAAAGTATTTATTCTTTTTTTAAAGATTAATGTGTTCATTCATTTATTGTCCCTGTGGAATGAATACTAAACTAATCTTAGCAGTGGAGCTGTGCTGCTCCTTCAGAGAAATGCCGGATGTCTCTTGTTTCCATTTCTTGTTGATGGATTGACGAGCTCTCTTTGAGATGTATTAGCCTTATTATAACCACTTTGTCTCTGATTGGCTGTCATGTTTCTAAGTTGTCTTGATGCTTTTTTTCTACTCATGTTTTTCTGGACCTCTTGAGCCCTCTCAGAAGTCAGAACAACTGTGCTGTAGAAATACTGATGCTAAATTACACACTGGTGGAATCAATTCTAGATGTTGAGAGTTGTAATTGATTTTGTTAAGGTCATTATCAGAATTTATCGCTTTAAAATTTAGGCTAAAGATAATACCATGCCATATTTTCTATATTTTTCATTGTTAATAGTCAGAAAACCATGTGCCATTTACTCGCCACTTAGCAATTATGAATCACTTTTTGATTGTAATGTTAAAGAATGTTAACATTGTAAATGTCTAAGAGCTTTTAGCTACCTGAAACTGTTAGTTATTAACTGTTTGTGATATTTCTTGGTCTTCTCTAATTTAAGTTCTTTTCGAACTCCACTTGTAGAATCGCTGAGTTTTAAAAATCCAAACCACCTAACTCTCATTTGTTCTTTTAGTTAGTTAAATCATTTTATTTTTACAGCCTTGTAATCGTACTATATAATGCTTCAGCCAGATAGCAAACAAAGCAAGATCACCAACCATAGGGAGGCCGGTATACCTCTAATGAGACCTCTGGTATTATTTTAAAATGACCTTTCTTTAGTGTTTTGGTTTTCCTTTTCATTTTTTGACAGGTGCTGAAAAGCCTGCATTAATTATTGATTTCCATCATTACAACGATTTGTTTAATTCCAGATGAGTGCTTTGCCAGATGGAATGGCAAATGGCCCAAGCAGGAGTGAGGCTTTTAGCAAAGATGCTCAGGTTTGGGAGAGACCGTGGAGTTTGGAGGAGATACGACAACACAGCGCCAACTGGTCCTTAGCTGCTGACTCGGGGGTAAGCTTGACACATTATTGTCATTTTTAAGTGTTTGAGAAACACTGCTTGAGAAAATTACGAAATGTGCTTGTAGTAATGCTGCGATAGATCCTGTTCTCATAAATGCTTTTTGATTTCACTTCATAGCTCTTCCTCTTCCTGCAAGACTTCTCTCACAGAATGTTGTCAAAGACACATGAGATTGAAAAGCAGTTGGATGGGCTCATCCGGGACACCAAGGCCACCGACAGCCACCTGCACTCTGTCTTCAATGATTTTTTAATGCTATCTAATACACAATTCATAGAAAACGTAATGCATCTCATTACTGCATTACACTATTTACTTCTACATTTATATTTCGAGGGAAGTTCTTGAATAAATGCTGCATAATTCAGTGTATCCTGTTGTGTTTTAGAGAGTGTATGATGAAGAGGTGGAGGAGACGATCCCCAAAGCCGATGCTCCGGAGAAGCAGCCTGATCAGGTACCCTTATTTAATACTAACCATCCTTCATCTGTTACTACCCTTTAATACAGTGCTCTCTAAAAATACTCAAACCAAACAGAAATAGGAATTTATTTTAAATGGAAGTTCATATAATAAACCAGGGGTCTGCAACCTTAACATTCCGGAGAACCATTTCAGCTCTTCGTCAAGCCAAATAAAACTAGTTTAGATTCACAAATATTATATCACCTCTTGAAAGAAAGACATGTTTTCTTTATTCCAATTTTATAAACTAGAGGGGAAAAAAACTTTGCCAAAAGAGGTTGGATACATTTTCCTCTGGGTTTTAATATTTTTAGAAAAATAATAAAAACAAATGTAATTTTTTAGACTTGTACAGAAACACAAATTTTGAGGAATCACTGGTGTTTTAAATGTTGTTCTGTTGAGGAACAAGTATTAAGGAGCAATTATTAAGTGAAAAACTTCAAACTTGCATTTTTATTAAGTCTTCATTTTAAGTTTTTGGTTATTGAGAGCCACTCTGGAGCACCTAAAGAGTTCTTTTTTGGCTCTAGAGCAACAGGTTTTAGACCTTTGTGACAGACAAAGACAAGTGGTGCTTTCCCATAAAGAGGGAAAAAATAACGCATAGTTCCATTTTGGTTTATTTAACCCTCTAAAGAAAATAAATAAATAAAAGAAAACATACATCACTGAACGGCTGATTTAAGTTTTTACAGTGACTCTAATTAGGACCTCTGAAGGCAGCTTGTTTCATTAAACTGTAATTGTATGATTCCATTGAGGTATATCCCTGATAATAGGGCTTAGTATAATAGTCATAGTTAGTTTTGTTTTTAAATAAAGGAAAATAAACTCTATACAATATTCCTGTCATAGTTATGAGCTACATTGTTTTAATTTATCACATGCTATATCACAAGAAAACACACTGAAGTATTGCTTGCAACATGACTAAATGTATGATCTACTCTTGTATGTATTTCCATATTTATTCAACTCTTTTTATTTGTGCATTTATTTATTTTTTTTTTTATTCAGGAGAAGACACGAGAGCAGAAAGAGGCAGAGTTGATTCCTAAGATGCAGGAAGCCATCAGTTACGGCCTAAAAGTACTGGAGTCAGCCTTTGAGCATCTGGATATCAAAGCAGGGAACTCTGAGTCTGAGGACGAGGAAATCCCAGACAAAGTGGAGTCCATCCTGGAACCCAAGGTAAGCTGTTCATCTGAATGGCCGTTTTTACAATTTTGTCTGGAATGCATCCAGTTAAGAGTTCGGCATTATGAAGTTTCCGTGATGGTTGATTATTTTACTTTCAGGATCTCTACGCAGACAGGCCGCTGCCATATCTGATTGGCTCCAGAGCCTTCATGGAGCAAGACGATGTGGGACTCGGTGACCTGTCGAGTGATGGTGAGACTCTCTCAGGGGCTCCGTCTGTACTACAGTGTGTGCAGTTTGGCTTTAAAACCATCATGTCATTTTTCAGAAATGTCAGTCGAAAGCGACAGGGACAGTGTCATTGACAGTGAAGAAGACCAAGATGAACTTGTGAGATCATTTTACCAATATTATTTTGTTTTTTATTATTATTTTTTTTCTAGGAAATAATTTTTTATTTTTTTTAACAGCACTCTGATGATGACTTTTCCCAGGAGGAACAGGAAACTCACAACAACATTCAAAAGAAGGTATTTTGTTTAATTGTTCTGCTCACATATTATTAAGACCCTGGCGCGCAAAGTAAAGCATTTTCAAATATCTTTTCTTTTTTTTTTTAGAAGTCATCTATGATTAGTTTTGAAGAAGATGAAGAAGAGGAGGACGAGGATTCAGACTTATTTGAAAAATCTGATGAAGATGAAGATGTTTCCAAGGTATGCTCTGCTTCTACAAATGAATATGACTGTATAGACTTCAATAAAAAATATACCTTAAGCATTACATTATGCTAGCTAAGGGGTGCATAAGCAAATATTTAAAGTACCACAAAAACTAAAATAAGACAGGACAATTAGTATCTAATTTGCGGCATTTCCCAACTTCTAGTTTTTTTGCTTCTTGCAGCACACATTCTTTGCATGTTTTATGTGTTGGCATCATTTTTGTGTTAAGCACAGTTATGAATTAGCACCACAATTGCACTATGCTGCTGTTTATTTTCTGTGATTGCAGTGTCTTTCCTTTGTTAGTTTTGTTTTCTATGTATTTGTTTGCAGTACTTTTTGTATTTGCTGCTTTTTCATGTATTTATAGTGCTCTTACCGTTGTGGACCACTATATTAAATGGCTCATATTATTCTTGAACAGAATTAACAGATAATATTTTGTGCTTCACAGAACACCCGCTCCTCATCATTTGCTGAGGAGTTAGCCGCCCGAATCAAAGGGGAACAAGTTTCGAGGCAGGATGGAGATCGTGCATGTAAGTCCCTGTCATAATAACTTACTATAGAGGAGATCATCACATTAAAGTTTTTCATTCCTACATCTTGGTGGCCCTTAGGTATGAGAAGGGCTTTATAATTTTGTAACATATTATTGGGATTACATCCATTATGGACACAATTTTAGATTGGGTATGGAAGATTCTGTGTGGATAATTTAGTCAACAATCAGGCAAGTGATGTTAAGCAATGCAAGATGTATACAGTTATATTTAATTATTGTATTTGGATTATACTTTGTCATTGAATTTTTTTATTTTAGTTGGACATTTTGAGTTGATTGGATAAATGTTTGATGTGCTCCTGTAAGCTGTAATTGGTGTTGCATTGGCATCATAGAAGACAAGAGCAAAACATTTAAAAATGTGTGCTTATTGGAGAGGAAGATGGATAATGAATAAAAAAAAAAAAACTTTTTATAAATAAATTAGCGCTGAAAAACTAGGCTAAATTACTTTAATTTAGTTTGGAGCTTAATGGGGTGGTAGTTGACCTCTGGATGACCTAAAAAAATAATCTTTAATATCTCTGACACAACAGCAGTACATATGATCTTTTTTTAATTAATGTCTTTCATTTTTACAAAGGACCATTTTAAATGGACAAACCTGCTCTAAAGAAGCAATAACCATTCGGTCCATTTGCTGAGTTTTTTTCACGTCAGTGGGGTGTCAACTTCACGCAGCTGAAGCTCTTCCTATTTGATGATGCGGCCCAGGGTGTAAACTAGGGTTGTCAAAAGTATCGAAACTCAAAAAAGTATCGATACTGAAATGTTGTATCCGAATACAATACTCGTTTTTAAAAGTATCGATACAGTGCCGTCACCAGTGGCACCTAAGCAGTCATTCATCTAAAGTGCAGAATAGAGGACAATGCACTTTCAGAACACTGTGTGATTGAATAATTCTGTGCTCTTTTCAGTTTCAGACTTTTTTTTTTGTAAGAGGTGCAGCTGCTGAGAATTATTTTTGTTTCTTAACTGGTTTGGCTAGTGTCATTGTTATGTGTGCAAAGCATAGCCAAGGAAGGAACACTTAATTTGAATTTTATAAGTTTTTTATCAAGCTTGCTTAATATTATGCACAGCATACAAGCTTTATTGTGTTTATTTATTGTATTTTATTTATTAATGAAAATATTTCTGTTGAATTTTGGAGTCTTTGTTTTTATCCTTGTGGTATCGAAAATGGTATCGAATATTTTCCTTAGTATCGGTATCGAGTTGAAAAGTTTAGTATCGTGACAACCCTAGTGTAAACACAGTGCATCTGAAATGCAGAGCATTGAACTCTCTGCAGGGCTCACGGGAATCGCCACTCGGTCTGAACCATTACAGAAGTCAAAATAAATTAAAAAAAATAATAATTTGATCTGAAAACTGTCAATAAAAACTACTGCTGGAGGCAAGTGGTGCATCAGATGATCTAAATGCTTCCTATGAATTCTCCATCGTCCAACACAACAAAGTTCTGCTAAATCTCATTTTAATGCCATCCCTTCTTTGCAGTTTTCATCTCTCATACAATGCATAAACATACAAATGTTGACGGTGAAACTCTAATTGGATTAATTCAGAATGACCTAAACTAATTCATTGTAATAACAAAGCCAAAGAGCTGCGACAATGTGAAAAGAATAAAAGTCTCACCGTTAGAGGAGTTTCACTAAACTTTCCATTTTCTCTTCCAGATGTTTTTTTCAATTGTAGCTTGATCTCCGACTGTTCTTTCTTTCCGAAATGACATAAAATTAAACCAATGTCCCCTGATAACAACATGCAATCTACGAGTATTGACCATAGAATACTATTTTAATTTAGAGTTGATGAAGCCTAATAAAATGGACAACTGCTTCTAAGTAAAACAAATGCAGTCATTTAGTAAAAAACTAGGTTATGATAACAGCTGATTGATTGTGGAAGACTCGTACGTCAGGTCTGGAACACTGCATTTGATTGGTCCGAAACATTTCTGTATCAAAGCCAAATGTATCTTCTGTCAGTTATGTATTTTTAGTATTTTCGGGTGTTATGACTTCACCAATCATGCAACAATTCATCTTGGTTAGGAAGGTAACAGTGTATGAACCATCTCATTAATTACATCTAGAGCTTGTCCAAAATACATGCCGGAACCTAAATCTTCACCCTTTAAAGTTTAGGCTTGTTTTGTTAATTTTTTTATGTCAAACCCAGGCATTAAAGCTCCTTCATTTTTTTTTTTCTTTAAACATTTATAACAGTTCCCTGTCCACCATCTTTACATGTGCATGTTTATTTCTTTTGTTTCTGCCATTTCATTATCCCGAAGCATTAGCATCTAAGAGGAAGAGTAAAAGCAGAAAAGAGCCAAAGCCCACAAAGCCAGAGGGTAGGACACTCAGTCATCATCAATCCTGTTCAGCTGCTAAATTAATGTTTGCCCAACACACCCATTAATCTCAAAACTGTTCATTTTACCAACAGCTGAGGACGACAGTGATGATATGTTTAAGCCTCCTAAGATGGATGATCATTATGATGATGAAGATGATGACGAGTTCTCTCCATTTGGAGGAAAAAGTGGCCTCTTCAGTGGAGGAAAGGGTCTCTTTGACGATGATGATGAGGTAATTTATTTTCCCTTTTAACATCTACAAAAGCATAGTAATTAGATTGTGATGTGTCATGTTCTGATGCATCCCACAGGGTGATCTTTTCTCTGAGGCACCAAAACCTGCTTTGGAAGATAAACCAGTAATAAATAAAGACACAAAAAGCAAAGCTCCAACTCCAGGTAAGATTTAGAGATGGAAAAAGATTGATTAGAAGGTTGACATACAAAGTGAGATTAATATTTCAGAATCTCTCAAAACAGATAAGAAGATTCCGGCTGGTGCGGTATCAATATTTCCAGGTAGTAAAAAATTATCTGAATAGCAATGCGTAAGATTTTTATTTCTATCCTTCTTTGTACTTAAACAACATTTCTCCAATCAGATAACAGCCTGTTTGGTTCAGGACAAAACAACGACTCAGAGGAGAGAAAAGAGAACGGGACCCCAGCTGCCGGCACCAAAGCATCTCCCAAACAAACTCCTGCACGGCCCAGTGCTGCGGGAATCGGGGGACTGTTTGATGATGAGGATGAAGATGATTTCTTTAGTGGCAAAACCCTGAAACAGTCCGACTCTGGTAAGTACACGAAAATGGCACTCTAGTACCCCACTCGCGGTTGTTAGGATCCTTATTTGGTTATCTGTTCCTTTTCCAGCTACACAGAAAAACCTTAAACCTAAAAGTTCAATTGACCTTTTTGATGAGGATGAGGATGAGGACATTTTTAGTGGGAAGTTCAAAGCAGCGACTCCAACGCAAAGCAAGAGGGAGGAGGAGGCAAAGGATTATCCTGCAGAGAAAAAGGTTGATAAACACAAACAATCTTTCCAGGAATTTTCTTGTGTTCCATGTTGTCATTTTTGCATGTTACCATGGTGACGGTGGTTTTCATGTCTAGATGCCAGCTGGGGCTAAATCCATGTTTGGGCCTGCAACTAAAAGCCTGCTAAGTGAAGGCTTGAAAAAACGGCAGCAATCCACCAGCGAGGGCTCTGAGAAATCAGAAGAGGTCTGGATTGATGCTTAATTTAGAGTTATTTATATTATTAATCTAACCTAATTGTGGGGGGGATTTAAATGATAGGACAATACAGAGCTGAGGACGATTAAATTTTAATCAACATCGGTCATCCATGTTATGTTTAAGATACAGTTATGGAGGAATTTATTCATGAACCAAATTTAAGGAATATGCTTGATTTAATTAACTTCAAATGATACGCGTATAAATTAAAATAGACAGTAAAAAAAGACTTACAAACAATAACATAAAAATAAACAGCATATTTCTCATTCTGGTTTATAAGCCAAAGGAGAAAAGTAAGTTTTAATTGATGTTTCTAAAGATCTCCTTGGTAGGAGCTAGGGATGTAAATAATAATCGTTTTGTATCGATGCATCGATCCAACAGCCGATGATCCGATGCATCGATACGTCCCTGGAGAATCGATTCATGTTATTTTTTTCCTCCTTTTTATCCATTTGCTCCTGGACGCAATTCTCCTCCCGTGCTGCGGTGGCGCTAAACCTATTTTGCCCTCCTACCACGC